AAAGAAAAAAGGAAACCAAAATAATCCAAGAGCATAGATAGGAAAAGCAAAAATCCCAATGAAAAAGGAAAAAAATAAAAATGAGAAATTCTAAGGCTTCCCCTTGAAAATAAAAAGTAAAAATAAAGACATTGCTAAAATAAAAATTTACCATAATGCTGGTGGGGTGGGGTGGGGTAGCGAAACTAAAAAAAGATTAAAAAGAAAGAAACAACACACTGCACTTTGTTTAGTTGTCCAAGGCTCTTGTTATGACTCTCTTCCCTTTCCCACAAGCTTCAAAGCCAAGCCATAGATATTTAATTGTTGATAGAAATCCAGAAGAGCACCTGTAATAATATTCTGCTGCGCTCTTCCCTCTAATCAAATTAGAATGTCCATGAGAAGGAGTCTTTCACGGTTCTCTCCACTTCAAGTAAAATATTTTCAAGCCTCTAGTTGGCAGTGTTACAAAGTTTCTTAGTTCTCACTTTCCCCCCTCCTCTCAGAAAAGCGTAATTGAAGTAAAAAAAAGAACAAGAAATATATACATATATATACAAAGAGAAAAATAACCAAAGGGAGCCTCTAGCCTAGAAAAAAAAATTAGCAAAATCCAAAGGGAAAATAAGATATATATATATATATATGTTATGACTCCCCTTCAAAATTCAAACGAACAAAACAGAAAGCAGCCGTTTCACAATTAAATCAAACGGAAAGAAGTCTTACAAGATAACGGCTGGCAGAAACCACAGCATAAATCTTTACTCTGTCCGGCAAACCAGTCCTGGCAATAAATCTCCAGTCTCAGAGCTCCTTGCTGTAACGTCCTCACTCAAATAGTCACTTTGTTCCTGGCAAAATGTACCAGCCCAGCTGTGTCCTTTTATACTCATTGAGGCAACGTGCTAATTTACTGACTCGCTCTTCTCATTCGCTCCAGCTGATTTTGCCTTCTCAACCGTCTTCTATTTTTTACATTTAACCACAAATTTTCCAAGTTCTCATCTCCACTAGAAGACTCTCTCAAAACTTCCCTGTCAGCCATTCCCGGCTGTTGATCAGATAAGGAACCAGAGGAGGTCAAAGGTCCTGACAATTCTAATACATCAGGTCTGTCTTCCTTTGTCACGTCCATCTCATCATCCTGGTTATCAGTCCAATCAGTAAGCCAGGCTGGCTCATATTTTTCTGCCATGACCTCCTCACTTGAACTCATATCAATCATAGGAGCTGAATCCAAGCCCGGAGCCACAACACATATATATAAAAAAAACCTGTCCGGTTATCTACTAAGTAACAATGAAGTCCGGTAGCAGAAAAATAAAATAAAAATAAAGCCTCGCTTTGACGTCTCCCTTAAAAAACGCCACTTATTCAGTTTTGTCAAAAATCACAGAGATTTCTTCTAGCAATCAAAGTGTCCTTTCAAGCCTCAAAATATTGAAAAAAAAAAAGTTTCTCACCCAGCCGACACACTTTCTCTTTCAGCCTCTTCCTTTCCGGAGCTGCCCCGACTTCAGCAGCTTGGGGGCTGCCTCTCCACCGCCAGCAAAAGGGACTTCTCCTGGGTCATCCAGGGACTTTGCGGTGTCCCTGGGATCCACAGGGTATACCCCTCACGATAACCGTCCCTACGAGACGGTTTAGGTCCGTTTGGACCGGCTAGGGGCGAAGATATTGGCTGCAATCGTAGAGCTCGATTGCAAGCCATACCATCACGGTGCCAGCTCCTCCCCTCTCCCAGGATGTTTTGAACTTTCTTAAGGCAGTGGGAGCTATAAAGCTCTTCCAAAGAGGGGAGAGGGCAACCCAGGATCCTCTGGGCAATGACTTTAACCCTCTGGAGTTCTTTCCTATCTGCCACTGTGCAATTGGCAAACCATACAGAGGTGCAGTATGTTAAAATGCTCTCTGTGGTGCAGCGGTAATTTTCAATGTCAATCTATCCATTTCTGCACAGTCTATAGTATCTTCTTAATTATTTTTTCATCTCACGGTAAATCTTCATTTTACCAATATTGTGTGAAGATAATCCTTGCTGCTGTTAAGACATGTTCTTTTGGGCAATTTCTTGATTGGGTTGTTGTTGACTTGATTGTTGGTCTGATGTTAACCTTGGAATTAACCTATGCTGTTCTGGGTGTTGATTGGTAGAGCTGAAATCTTTTTGTTCTTTTTTTCGGCTGGATGAAAGAAATTCAACTAGTTTCTCGAGCAAACCTAAATAAAAGCCCCATTGGGTTTGACCCAGGGGTGGGATTCAAAAATCCCAGCAACCGGTTCACTGCCCTGTTGCTGGGTGGGCACGGCCACGGTGGCTGTGGCCTACCAGAACTTCCAGGAGAGCCGTTTTTCACCTTCCCCAGAGTCCGGAGGCTCCCCTCAAGCGAAAATGGCCTCCCCAAGCTCCAGAGGCCCTCTGGAAGCTGTAAACAGGCCCATTTTTGGACTTCTAGAACTTCTGGTTTTTCACTGTCCCCAAGCCTCTGCACTAATCTGCATCCAAAACGGGCCACATGGAGACTCCTGGGAAGAGCGGGGTGGGGTGGGCGGGGCCAGCCATCGGTTCCACTACCGCTTTGGCGATGTTAAATTTAACATCTGGTTTGCCCAACCCAGCCCGAACAGGTCGAATCCCAACCCTTTGTTTTACCACAGCATGCTTTTAGGCAAGTTATCCAAAATTTCCGTCAATATCGCTATGCACCCATCTCATTTTTACATAATTCAACATTAATTGCTTGCCTTCCTTCAAGCCCATCGGTTTCTTTCAAAACTCTGCTTCTGTCTCTTGGAATATGTGACCCTGGCGATAACATCACTCCCAGCCAAGGGGTGCTGTCTCTGTTTATGGCAGGGTGGACTTGATTTCAATCAAGTCAACTTAAATAATCACGATTTAAATCACGATTTAAATCGTGAGTAAAAAGACTTGATTTAAATCAATATGAAGATCCACTGTCATCTCTGCCGCAACGGCTTCTCCTCTGACCTGCTGTTGACTCACCGACAGTCCCATTCAATTTTAATTTTGCAGGGACACAACCAGGTGAGGGACATGACTGGATCTGAAATGACAGATACTCTTTAATATTATATTTATAAGCTACTTAGAAGGTTTCACTTCCGTTTTTACTGCTTGCCCTTCCTTCTCCCCCTTAGAGCCTGATGGCACAGATGCATTTCTCTCCAAACAATCATACAATTGGCAGCACACATAGATTTGCAAAACAGTGGGATAAAAGGAATATCCCTGAACTTCATTTTATGATTTATCTCATGGTTAGTGTGAAATTGTGTGACTGCATCAATGCAGGGCATGTTATCTCAGCTCTGCAGAGCTTGGATTTGTTAAATGAGTTTATCAAAAAATATAAATATTGCAGACTATACAGCCTCATGCTACATAATTAAGCTTCATTTCAGGCTGAATAAACTAAATTAATTTTTTAATTTTTTTTATAGTTTTATTCATAAACATTTTTGAATATAGCATATTGTCAGGGCATACAATTTACAAGGATCAAAAACCATAGCTAATACTATAATAAAAATTTACCCTTTAATAATAATACTAATGTAATAACACATAAATTAATAGCAAAGATAATACTATGATAGCTCCCATACTAGTGATATCACCAAGTTAATGTATTTTAAATAGAAAACTATCTTTAGATAGATTTTTACTCCAAAAGCATTTTATGAAATTGGATACGATAAAAATGAATAAAAATCCGATTTAAATATATCTGATTTTTTTAGATTAAAAAAAAATCAATATTTATCCACCCTGGTTTATGGCTTAACTTGGCTTGAGCCCAACCCATTTTGGTTTATCAAACAAACCACAGTGAAGCAAACCATATCCCGCCTGCCTGTAGAATTGTATGCTGATATAGTTTTACAGAGGAATTATTGAGTCTGTCATCTGCACCAAAAACAATTGCTCCAACTTGCATTACATCAAGGACCTGTATACTGCACAAGTCAAAAAGGGGGCTGGGAAAATATCTACAGACCCCTCACATCCCGGACATAAACTGTTTCAACTCCTTCCCTCAAAACGACGCTATAGGGCACTGCACACCAGAACAACTAGACACAAGGACAGTTTTTTTCCGAATGCCATCACTCTGCTAAACAAATAATTTCCTCAACACTGTCCAACTATTTACAAAGTTTGCACTACTATTACTATTAATCTTCTCATCACCCCTTATCACCCCTCCCCTCCCACCTGTGACTATATGACTGTAACCTTATTGCTTGTATCCTAACAATTTTTATTGACTGTTTCCTAGTATGATTTGATTGCTTATTGTACCCTATGACTATCATTAGATGATTCTTGACTCATGTATATTTCTTTTATATATACTGAGAGTATTTGCACCAAGACAAATTCCTTGTGTGTCCAATCACACTTGGCCAATAAAGAATTCCTATTCTATTCTATTCTATTCTATTCTATTCTATTCTATTCTATTCT